ATGCATGTCACCGTAATTTGCACTTTTAGGTCGACCTCATATAGGATTAGGTTGACCAAATATGCACTTTTAGGTCGACCTCATATAGGATTAGGTGGACCTAATATGTCGTTTCAGTTTTGTAAGGTTCCCGAATACACTAATTTGGGCACCCTGATGACTTATCGCGGTCAACCTTTAAAATATAGTGGTCAACCGTTTGTAGTTTACGTTGTCATTGTTGGTCGACCACAATAAAATATTGGTCGCCTTTTTCATTGGCGTCAGAAGCAAAATGGTCGACCGTAAAGGTATATAGGTCGACCACTTGATGGTGGTCATTAACAAAATGGTCGATCTTAAAGGTATATAGGTCGACCACTTGATGGTGGTCATTAACAAAATGGTCGACCATTTACAGAAAGAGGACGACCAGATAGAAGAGAAGTGTTGTATCCATTTATCCATCATCATTTGACGTAAAATGAAGATTAAGTGTTGGTTTCGCGGTCGACCTAATCTGGTACGAGGTCGACCGAATGCCCTGCGTCTTTTTTGCTTATGTATGTCGATGTGGGTGGTTCTTTTGCTCGTACAAATTACGTTTCAAACCAACAGAATCAGTCATAAATAATGATAACAAGGACTCATAACTTCCACGTGGTCAACCTCTTGAATCACGTACAACAGCAACCGCAAAGGATCTTCTTCATAAAAGCTCTAAGCGTAAAAAAACCTAATTAAGAGTTTCGGTGGCGGTGAAGGTGACATATATTCGTATTTATAGATATTTAGGACGAGAATGGTTCGAATTAAGTGGTAGATAAGTTAGGGTTACCTTTCTGGTGTTGGAATCCTTATCCAATCCGGATACGATGTGCACGCGATCGACCTCGTACTTATTCGGTCGACCTCAGTTAATCAAAATGGTCGGCCTATGAGGTATTTGGGTCAACCTTTCATTATGTTCGCTTCCCAAAAAGGTCGACCATTCGCTATAAAAGGTCAACCGCGTCGTTGAACCTCACGAAACTGAAACGGCATATTAGGTTGATCTAATCATATATAAAGTCGACCTAAAAGTGCTGATTAGGTCGACCTAATCTTATATGAGGTCGACCTAAAAGTGCAAGTTACGGTGACATGCATATCACCGTAGCAAAGTCCCATTCCCACACATCTATTTGTGGGGGCTAAAAATACAACTACAGTAAGTCAAAGTGATTTATCTCTTAAAAAAATTGAATATATAATTTGGTCAATCTAATTTCAAATTGGATTGGTCCATCCAACATGAAATCATTTTGACCCAATATCCAGTTAAACCATATTTCCAACACTGGATTCAGTAAGAGATGCGAGTTAATTAGTTAAAAGTTAAAACATCGTAGGAACAGTTTAAGAGAAGAAAAAGTAAAAAAAAAAAAAACAAAGATGAAAAGAGTCATCGAGCTCTTCCTTCAACTGACCAACTCACAATAGAAATAGTCTAGAAGTGGAGGAGAGGAGAGGAGAGGAGAGGAGAGCTGGCAGAAGACGTGATCAACGGGAAGGTTGGCTTTTGGCTCTCTTTCTCTCCGCCTCCTTTACCAAAAGAAAGGGAAATCAGAAAAGCTTTTGACTTTATAAATTTTAGTAATAGTAGTGATCAAATTTGGTATTTATCTTATATATAATAATAGTTGGCAACTTGGCATATATTTAAATCGGGAGGGAAACTGATAAATTAGGTATAATAGTTAATTGGATATGAAAAATAAAATGTATTTAAATGAGAGTGATTGATCTTTCAAATATTCTATGTATGCTTTATTAGTTGTTTATTCACATATTCAATGTTTTTATAACGAGTATGTACAAATGACAATGGTACATATGATCCGCCCAAAATTAAGGATGCATTTGTTCAAAATATTGAAAAAATTTCCATAAAATCATAGCTAATTTATAAATATAATTTTATTCCAATCAGTGGTAGGAAGAGTGTAATGGGCGGCTCATTATGACAAAAATGAGTAAAATAGTATAATAGTTAATTGAGATTAAAATTAAGGCACTTCTAATTGAGAATGGTTGACCGAGAGATCATGTGTTCGAATTTTGGCAACCCCATTTGTTAAGCATGTGATTATCGGATTTGCAAAAAAATTTAAGCACGTATAAGCTGGTTTTCTTTAGCGGGGAAGTGTTAGTAAATACTTAATAGTATAAGTCCATTATTAAATCTTTCACAACAACTCGAGTTATTGACACTAAACGTTTTTTTTTACGATGAACACCATTCAAAAGTAAATGTCTAACTAAATCATTGATAATTGGTTAATAGTTGATACATATAGAGTGTGTTATTCTTGATAGTTTCGACATATATTTAATTTACCAAGTTTTTGTAAATAAAAATTATATCATAAATTATTTAAAACGCTAACAAAACTATTTTATCGTATGTATTTTTTTCTAAATGGACCCACCCTCGATAAAATCATGGCTACGTCCCTGTATAAACCATCTTAAAATTTGAGTTTAAACAATTGAAAGTTATAGTATAGTATCATATCCAAAATTTAATGTAGAGAAATATAATTTATTAACTAAATCTTTCAAAATTTTCAAATTATTGGTCAATCCTTTCCAAATAGTATTAGCTAAGTGTTAACTTTTTGTTAGCAACATTAACGTAGAAAAATGATGCTAAGTTGGAAGAGACGTATATGTGGTAATCAACATTCCAAAATTTTAATATTTAAATTAAGAAAATCGTTACAAAAATATTAAAGATAACAAAAATTTACTAATATTTTGATGTGTTACAACAAAATTCTAATGTTTTCATTTCAAAAAATTTATCTAATAATTTTAAGAATTTTACTAATAAATTTATACTCTTTAATTTAATTTATTATCTTAATCTGAATATCTCACTAGAATCATTACGAATATCAACAGCTGATAGAGGGCAAGGCACTTTAATAAAAAAAAAAAAAGGGGCAAGACAAAAGGGAACCAGTTAAGAAGTGAAAATGAAGTAACATGACCTCAAACGAAATCACCCTCCCAATTTGCATCCACCACATCAGACATAATCATAATCGCAGGGTGGTAAATGGTTATCGTGTTAGTGATATAATCGATAGTCGAATTGAAATTGATAGTTAACAGTTACGTTAATAACTGATAAAACAGTAAATTGTTAGAAATAATTTTTTTAACGAGTGGCGATTTGAAAAATAGCTAAATCAATTAGGTATTGATCTAACTAGGGATTTAGAAATGGGAAGGGAGTTCAAGAACAAGGGAAAGGAAAATGGTGGCTGCGGCAGAAGAGAAGAGGGAGACGTGGGAGAGTAGGGAAGGTAGGATGAGATTAGAGTTGCTAATTATATTTTGTAATTGCCTAATGGAAATCCCCACTAATTACAGATTATATAGCCCTATCAATAACGGTTTCATACCCGACTAAAACGACATAATAATGAACTCCCTGATTATTCCCGAAATTCCCCAAATAATCCCCAAATATCTCAAACCGACAAATAATCTCAAATAACCGAAAACAACAAATAATGAGTTTCTAACATAAATGATAGGTTCTCGATAGTGAAATTTAGTTAATTACTAACCGACGCTTAAACGGTTAGTCATCAACGGTTAACCGACTAACCAATTACAACCATCCTTAGAGTTTGGGTCGAAAATTGTGAATTAGGTTCAAATGAGAATAATTTTCAGAAACGGATTTAGAAATAGAAAACCAAAAAGTTGGACTCGAGCACAGTAGCTCAACAATAATTAGTAACATTAAAGCTTCCATGTAATTTCGGGGGGTTTATGAGTTCAGTACCTATTGTTGGATCTCTTATTCTTGTATGCTTTTTTAATCAAATTTGATTGTAGAATGGTGTATTGTATACTTATGTTGGATTGAGTTGATTATTGATTGATATCTATGTCAAATTTTTTTTTCTGATGATAACAACTTAAAAAAATAGAAGACCTACGTTATGTAGGAAAAAATATATTAAAATATACAATTGAAAAAAAGGAGATGTTATTCAACGAAAAAAAGGAGATGTTTTGTTGGTTAAGTTACTAAACAGTTATTTTGGTATAACGTTGTTGAATCACTTGCTAACGATTATTATTATTATTAGATTAGAATTATTAAGCACCGAGTTTTCTACTGTTGCATACGACAAAAACGGGATTACCTTTTTTAACTCGAAATTACTGTTCACGTCTCTTTTTTTCTAATTTCCTGCGCCCGTGCGTATTTTAGCAACCTTGGCGGCTGTTGTTCACTCTCTTTATACAGAGGATTGTACAAAAGTGATCTCCGTTGGGCTGGTCAAGTAAACGATTTATTCTGTTCATCTCTGTCTTTCTCATCATTTAATTTGCAACAAATGATCAAGTCCGTAACTTTCTTCGTTCCCAATTCATTCAACGTGGACCAAACAAATAGTGAAATTGCCATCCAGATACCCTTCTTCCAAACTCCATATCTCCTTGAGTGAGAGAAGAATTAGTTTAGATTGCCATCCAGATACCCTCTCTTCCAAAACTCCATATCTCCTTGAGAGAGAGAAGAATTAGTTTAGCCTCTTATTTTGAATTATATTGCATGCAATTAGTTTTCTAACCCAAATTAACAACGTCTCCTTGCAATGCATTCATGATAAAGATGGGAGGGAACTTGCCTACTATCTGCAGTGCTCATCATTGAGATGGAAGGGCGCTCACCTATTCTCTTCTTCTCCTCTGCGAATGAAAGCGGGAGAATGGCCGGCCAGCATTCAAGCACAACAAATTAATTAAGTTAAACATGAAGAAGGATGGAGAAGAGAAGGGAAGGGAAGGGAAGTTATGATTTATGAGTTATGAGGCTATGTGGCATTGCTATTTATCCACCTGTCATTAAGGAAGGCACGTGGCCTGTAATGGAGAAGTTATTGGGTAGTTTGGAAATGATGAGATGGAATTCATCATCTTGCATGGTGGAGACTTGGAAACAAAAGCACATGACTTTTTAAAGTTCTTTATAAAGAATGGAGGGTATTAAAATGAAAACTTCAATAGTTACAGTTCTTTATAAAGAATGGAGGGTATTAAAATGAAAACTTCAATAGTTACATAAGGAAATTCAATAATATTACACCAAGGAGAAGCAAATTATCTCCGGGAGTTATTATTCCTTAACCAGTTTATGTGTATTTTGTTAATACCAAGTGACCAACTCTACAGCTAGAAAACGGGTAAGATGTGGAGTTGGCTTTAAATGGGAGGAATGGTTGATTTTATGTCGTAAAGCACAGTATTATTAGACAACATATTACAAAAGATTTGCATAACACTATTACATAACAATATATAAATCACAAATACATTACGTCAAACATACATAGGGATAGTTATTCCATATTAATCAAACGTAATGCACTACATCAGTCTTCTTTAATGACTAATACTCTACTTTCTTATTAGAAGTTTGAATGAAATCCCCAAATTTAATTCAATTGTTGGTCATCTCATTAATTGTGATTACACAAAATTTTTGTATGGTCGATTAGTTTTACATAAAGTTTTAATCAAATTAGATACTTTTCTTTATTAATGGCTAGAATGTTTATCATCTCATCAATTTGCGTTACACACAAGTTTCATAAGATAACTTAAATTTTCCTCAATAGTTTAATCGTGAGACTTACCGGTAACTTGATTTTATTGTCATGGCTTACATTACGAAAGATTTACATAACACTATTCTAAAACAATTAAGTAAATTTCAAATATATTGCGTAAAACTCATAAAGTAATAATTATTTTTTTTTAGATAAAGGAATGTACTATGTCGGTTTTTCCTAATAGTTAAGACATTATACAAAGATTATGGAACTATTTTAGACGACTACTTTATAAATTATTTGATTAATTAAATCATGAAATAAGTGAATAAAATTATAAATTTAATTAGTTTTATACCGGCTACCGCGGTAAAGCGCGGGCCAAAAAACTAGTTTAGGTAATAGACAAAATAACCAAGAACCGACTATATAATTATAGTTAATGATATAATATAAATGGTACAATTAATTGTTAGCACAAAATGCTTATTACTTAACGGTTAACCAAGAACCAACTAAACGGTTCCGGGTTTAACCGAACCTATTACCACCTTTACGTAATCATAAACAAACATGAAAACCGAAACAGAAAAGTAGGAACAAAATTGCAGCATAACCAGGGAAGACCATAACCAAAGAATAGATATTCCACACCTCTGCATTAGAATCAGAATAGTACTTCATCCATTAAAGTTGAAATAAAACAAAAACAAATAAGACCCTTTTTGGAAGACTCACCAGAGACCAAAACCCTCTCCTGTACATAAACCAACCTTTCTCTCTCCCTCTAATGCACACCAGCCTGAAAATCAACATGAATATCATGAAGGTACCCAGGTACGACTTGCAAACATCTCTTCTTCATAATAATATATATATATGCCAAGGCAATCCTCGGTTGTCCATAGTATCATATGCAACCCAACTGATAAAATGCACTTGCGGGAAAACTTTCCGGGTATGGGGTGGCCAATTTCCATGGAAAGCACACAGTTTCCAGCCTTCTTTTTATACCTTCTCGTATGATCAGGTATATAAGTTATTCAAAAGCTTGCAATATCTGCGAGAAACCCGAGTCTCTTTCTCTTTCCCTTTAGCATTTGTTGGTGCACACAGCTGGTTATCCACCTAACCTTTAACTTTTTCAGATACTACCAGCTCGCCCTCAGCTGACTCCGACCCTTCCTTGCTTTCAAATTCTGCCGATTCCTTCATCGATTCAATTTCCATGCTTGCTGTTCGGCTCTTCCGATTTCTACGGTCCTGAAGAATTCAACACCCACAAACATCTCATGCATAACCCCTACCAAAGTGGATCAAATTATACAAATACCAAAGTGCACAAGTAATTAGTTGTTGGCCGCTTAGTCTGCAAAAGCAAACTCAGACGAACTTCATTTACCATCTCAACTCAAACATTTCTCACTCTTAAAAGCAGACAAGATTTCATATTTCATATTTGAGAGGCTCATCCAAGGATTCTATCAATGAAAAAGTGCAATTTCTGATTGGAAATGATAACAAGGGCTAAATGTTTAATAGCTGAGACTTGGGATGAAACTATTGTGTGATTGGGTGGCACTATTCAAAGGTAACAAGAAACAAGTTAGCAAGCTACTGCATCAATGAGGGGAAGAAAGTTTCTGTAAGCATACCTCACGGAAAGGGTACTCTTCAGCTTCAAGCATCCGCACTACCTGACTCATTTTCGGTCTCTTTTCCGAATCAGGATCCACACAGCGAAGTGCAACCAAGAGAGCTCGTTTTAGAGCACGAGTTGCAGGTTTTACTTCTAGATTTGGATCCACAACTTCGTCAGCTCTCCTTGTCCCTACCATCATCTTAAGCCACTCCACAAGGTTGACCTGTTACCGTAAACAAGGCCACCCAGAATAGTCAAGTCATTTGAGAAAGAAAGAAAGAACAGCTCTTTATCTTGAGAAAACCTAGAAAACCATATATTTGTCAGGAGCAGGGATACCTCATTAGCAGGCCTTCCATAGTCCACAGGATCTCTGCCTGTGACTGCTTCTAGCAGCAGTACCCCAAAGCTATAAATGTCGCTCTTCTCATTCAACAAGCCAGTATTTGCATATTCTGGTGCAACATATCTGAATTCCACACAGAAAATGGAAAATCCGGGACAGGTTAAACTCCTATTCTTGCTTGAATCGAAAAGAAAATGAGAAAGAAATCAATTGCATACCCAAATGTACCCATAACTCTTGTTGTGATGTGACTCTCTCCTGCACCCAGGAGCTTTGCCAACCCAAAATCAGAAACCTTGGAATTAAACTCATCATCAATCAAGATATTGCTTGATTTTATGTCACGGTGTACAACTTTAGGCTCTATGGCTTCATGCAAATAAGCAAGCCTGCAAATGAACCAAGGTCATTCCTTCATCAGAATCAGCAAACAAAATCATGGGGATCAGGATATTTAGAGTTGCTAACTTACGCCTTTGCAGTCCCAAGAAGAACTTTCATTCTAGCCTCCCAAGTGAGTATACCGCGATGGCGCATCGCCCCATGAAGCCACTGCTCTAAGTTGCCATTGTTCACATATTCATACACAAGCATCCTATATAACATGAGCAAGAATTAGGGCTGAAACTGTTAGGACATGCAGATAACCTAATCTGTAATTACCCCACATGCCAAGACCTTATACTCATTTACGTTATAAGCATGTTCACAAAGGAACTAAATGAAGAGATGAAGCAAGATAAAACAGTGTACCTGTGAACCCCTTCAATACAATATCCAAGAAGACGAACAAGATTCTTATGACGCACATGACCAATGGCCTCCACTTCAACTCTGAATTCCTTTTCTGCCTGTCCCCTATAGTATAGTGCAAAGCATTGCAAATGGTTAAAGATATATTATCATTGATCATACCAATTAGTAAAAAATCACACATTGCTTGTCTTTTATGCTTACACATTGTTGAGAATTTTCTTCACAGCAACCTCAGTTCCGTTAATCAGTCTTCCCTTGTAAACAACCCCATAACCACCCTCGCCGAGCACATTCTCAGCGGCAAAACGATTTGTGGCAAACTCAAGATCCCTAAGAGTAAACCAATGACCCCACCCGAGATGTGAGAATTCTGGTAAGCCAACCAAGGGTGAGGCTGTCACAAGTCCTGGATATGAGGATTGCTTCCTCACGGTCCCAGAGCTTCCTTCTTCCCCAGATTGAGAGCTAAATCCTTTCTCGTGATGAAAAACTGAGCTGCATTGACTGATGTTATCAGGATCACTTGATTTGCTCATCCCCAAGTGACCAATCATCTTACCTGAATTCTTATCGCTTGATTTATCATTGATATTGAGGAATAGACTATCAGGCTGATCACTGTAACTCTGATTAGCCCCAACCCTGTCAACCCTAATATCTTTTGAAACATTTGGTATCTGAGAGAGGGGGTTCATTGATCTTCTAGATCTCCTACGAAAAGCCCATACTGACAGGACGCAAAGAATCAAAACTATGAATGCACCTACTGATATCCCGATCAACACATAGAGTTTCAAACCCAAAATTGATGTCTTCTTGGTCAACTCAGTATTCAAACTCTCAGACGACATTGCTGATCCTTCTCTGATTTGATAGAAACTGCGGTGTACCTTCCCAATTCAGACAATAAAAAGATTAGAATATTCCCACCTGAATATCAAATAATAGTGAAATGAAAAAGGCAACACAATTTGAGTGTTTTGGTCGATGGAAATCAGGAATGAAAACCAAATGGACCTTGAACAATACAGCTAGGATGTGATTGTGCTTGTATGAGGCAAACCTTAACTATGACAGGGAAAGCAAACTCTGAATTTCAGTCATTCAACATTAAAAGGGAGAATGCAGGGACTAACTTACACTGAAGGAATCAAACATAAAAGAAGGAAAAGAAGACGGAGAGTTGATAAGAACAGCAAAACCAAATCCCAGATTCAGAGTAATTGCAGTACCATTCGCTGTTCCATAAAATGCTTCGCAGAGAATAGCATTAATCCTCGGAAGAGGTAAATCGACAACTTTTCTCATGGAACTCTTGAACATCGAAAAGAAGGGGAAATTCATACCAAATTTCAACGAGGCAATGCTCAGTAAGCCACAGTTCCAAACAAGTGAAAAAGGAATAAAAGCTCACAAGAAGCATCACTTAGGATCCAAGTAAGAGGCAGGTGAAAAAAGAAATTTGAGTCACTCAGAAAGAAGAGAAGAGGAAAGCTAGGAGGGAAGAAGAGCTTATTTTCACCTCGTGTGAAGAAATCCGGAAGGTGGGATATAGCTAGCCCCCTTGATCTTCTTCCTTGAGCAGCCAGAGGAGGAAAGAAAGGGCGTCTCCTTTATGAAGCAAGTGAGGCTCAATAAGCATAGATTGGCCAATGCAGACCTCAAGACCAACACGAACCCACCAAAACCCAGAAATCCCTTTGGTAAATAGCAACCCACCACCACAGTTTCAGAGAATGATGAGTCTTTCAGAAAGCAACCCAAAATGTGGGCCAAAGGGACACAAATAAGGTGCGGAGAGAAAGGGGTAGAGGCCAGAAAATAAACGAACAGGGAATGCCAATCTTAGAAGCTAGACAAATATTGTACAATGGAGAAAGAAGAAGAAGGAGAAGAAGAAGAAGAAGAAGAAAAAGGTACGGGACTGCTGCAGCAGCAACATAAATATGGCCAAAAAATAGAGAGAAAATGGGGGCCGAAAAGCAATACGATTGGGAAAGTTAGTTGGTGGGTCTGTGGGAGAGAAAGAGAGACGGAGCTCTCAGAAAAAAGGCTGGAAAGGGAAGGAAGCTTGGTTTGCAATGGAGGAAACCACACACAGAGTCGCACACATTCAGAAAGAGAGAGAGATATGAATGGAAGGAGAACGAAGCAAGAAAAGGTTGAAGTGAAGAGAGAGAAACAGTAAAGTGAAAGCAAAATTGAAAAGGAAAGAGGGGGTTGGCATTAATTAATTAACTGGGTAAAGTTGTGGAAATGAAATGAACCAAAAAAACAAAACCGCATACCGAAAAAGAAACAAATTAGAAATATATAGTGTAGTAGAGAAGAGAGTTATTCAAAAAAAAAAAAAAAGTAGTAGAGAAGAGAGAGTCGAAACAAAAGTCTGAAAACCCAGCTGGATAAACTCCAAATCTAGCAAATTCCCATTCCCGTTCACTTGAGCAGCATGACCACCACCAGTCCACCATCATCACCCATGAAGGCTGCTCTTTCCTTCTCTGTTTTTTTTTTTTTTCAGTCTCATTTCGTTTTGGTTTCTGACAAAATAAGAGGCTGACTGGATGAGGGTGTCATGGGATTTTGAGAAAATCTAGGGGGAAAAGAAAAAGAGAGAACGGTACGTGACGTCAAAGATTTTTTCGAATGGAAATGTGTAAATATTAAATAATTTAAGGTTTAATACAACAAAATAATCTAATTTTTTATGGCGAAAATAATTAAACTTTTAAGTGATTTTTGACGAATCTCGCATGGATAATGTAAGGGAGAAATGCATTATTTATAAGTAAAAAACTAATTTCTCCAAAATATAAGAAACAGATTCAGAACCCAGAATTGCTGGGATTCAAAAATGCTGCATCCTGAGGGCTTCACGGAAGGGTATAAATGTCTTTCCGACCCCTGCCTCTTTAATGAGGTGCTGCGTTTTGGCCTTGCTAGATAATGGCAGTCTGCCGCACTGGCCCTGGCCCAGGCCCAAACTCCGCCGACCCATTTGGGCTTAATGAAAGGATTAACTTTCTTCCTCCGTCGAAATCGTCCCCCTCACCCTCACTGCCGAAAGCGACCCTCCACCCCCACTGTCATCGGCGACCTGGTCAGCTCTGCACAAAACGAACACGTAGCCGACATCTCTACCTTTCCTCACCGGCGGTGGCTAACGAATACGGCGGCAGATTCGGAGTTTTGAGGCACTGGTTGTCGCAATCGAGTAGGAGTTGAAGAGGAGAGAGCGAGGAGGGGCCGTAATTATTTGGCTGCTTCATCGGTCCATGACATTTAGGCAGAGGATACGAAGTCGGAGTCAACGATGGCGAGGATGAGGAGGCTGAAGAGGAGAGCTGACGGGAAGGCGAAAGTGCAGGAATCGCCATGGAGAGAAGGAATTTAAATTGGACCAGCAATAGGGGGAATTTGGGATTTGTTGGTTGAGATTGATATGGATAGGGAGATTGAGAAATGGAAGGACACTATTTCTAATGATTTTTTTTTGGGTTAATTGCATGATTGATCACTGAGATTACAAAAAACGTTCAAGTTTGGTCACTCAAAATATTTAAATCCATTGGTGGTACTTCAGTTTACTGAAACCGTTCACGTTTGGTCACTCTCCGTCCAACTCCGTTAACTTTGGCTGATGTGGCAGTCAACTCCCAAAGTTGACCGTTAACTAAGTGACGTGGCAATTAAAAATAATAAATAATTTTTTTTTTATTTTTTTTTATAATTCTAACAATAAAATAAAATAAATAAAACAGAATATTATTATTAAAAATTTAATGCTTCCCTGCCGATTCACTCTCTCTTCTATTCATCAGTACTCTCCTCTTTCACTCCCATTCCCCGGCCACCAGAGCAGCCATACCCAACAGGGGCGTAATTGAGATCAATTTGTTGTGTTGCAGGTAAATGTAATTCAGTGACGAAATTGATGGGATATTAGGCGGGATATTGCCAAAGAGGGCATTGGATCTTAAGCTGAGCACCTTGAGGGAATCGACCTTCCCGAGTGTGTTCGGTGGGAGGTTTCCGAACAGCCCCAACCCCGGGAGGCGAACAACGTCGACATTGGTATGGTTCGGGTTGCAGGAGACCCCAACCCAGGTGGAGTAAAAGGTTCCGGATCGGAGGCATTCCAGTTGAGCTTCTTGATGTGGGGAACAGAGGAGGCGAACTCCAATAGAGCTTCTCTGTCAGAGTTGAGGTCAGTAGCTTTAGTTGAGTGGCGGGAAGAGAAGCTTAGAAGGAAGAGCAGAAGAAGAAAGAAGCTCATGATTGGGGGGTTGAGGGGATTTGGTTTGTTTCATTTTTTAATGGGTATCAATACTTAATTATACACTGGTTCTGGTGATGGAGCTTCGCCATTCTTCAATTTGGCGAGGAACCAGTTGTACAGCGCCATTTCGGAGAGCGTTTTCCAGCTGCCGAAGCTAGCCAATCTGTCGCTTTATTCCAATTACTTCATCCAGGTAGCTCCGGCGGCGGGAAGAATTCCCACCAACAATTGACGAGCTTCAGGGAGTATTTCTCCGGTAGGGAAGCATTAAATTTTAATTATAATAATTTTTCTGTTTTATTTATTTCATCAATAAAATTTTATTGTGAAAATGAGTTGGAAATTGTAAAAAATTTATTTTTATTTTTTATATTACTTTTTAATTGCCACGTCACTAAGTTAACGGTCAACTTTGAGAGTTGACTGGCACATCAGCTACAGTTAACGGAGTTGGACGGAGAGTGACCAAACGTGAACGGTTTCAGTAAACTGAAGTACCACCAATGGATTTAAATATTTCGAACGATCAAAATTGAACGTTTTTTGTAATCTCAGTGACCAACCATGCAATTAACCCGATTTTTTTTTTACCAATACTATTTCTAATGAATTAGAGGAAAGATGAGAAGCATGTTTCGTTTCCCAGAGAAGATAGGGGTAGGTTTCGTTGTTAGAGATAGGCTGGGCGTGAAAAATAAAGAGGAAGAGATAAAAATTTTATTAATTTATATTGGTATTCATTTTTTTGTCATTTTATAATTGTATTTTACATCTAAATTTGCACCCTCTTATTTTTCTCTAAAACAACAATTTACACCTCAATTTACACCTTAATTTTATCCATACCGACAGAAAGTCCTTCGGATTGAGTTTTATCCTACACGGTTAGATTAGATTCTCGGAGGTATCCACAGTTGTGGATTATTTTACGCCAAATCACGACTTTGATGTATTTTGAAAATACTAAAATTGTGATGGAGAATATATAAAGAGAGGAGATTAGATTAATTTTATTTTTATATTGGATAGTGTAGAGAGATTAGGATGGAATATGGAGAAATGAGTCAATGAGACGAATCCTCTAATTATGATAATCAATTCATTTAAAATTATGTAACTATCTAAAGGTCACATGCAAAAGTGATAATTAATATTTAATTATCGAAAAAATTAAGGATTAAATATTTAATAAATATGTAAAATTTATGTAATATTTTTACTAAAAAGTAGGTTTAATCTCCCACATAAATTTGGTTTCACCTAATTTGAGAATTGTTGCGACTTTTAATTTGATGCAATTGCAAAATATTACCAGAGTATGTACCGAAAAAGTCAATGATAAGATGTTTTGTGTTGATATCGTGGTTCAACTATTTTGTATTACTAAAATTGTCTATAGGGCTTAGGTTTCGATATGTTTTTTATGCCAAATATGGTACAAATTTTTTAAATATTGATTTCATTTAAAAATGTGGTAATCAGACCACCAAATTCTCAGGGTTTTTGTTTTCAGGTTTTATTTTCAAAAGTCTAAAAATTATCAGTTAAACAGGTTTTTCATCATAAAATGGTAGTTTCATTTCGTTCATATTTTGTTTTACATTGCCGAGAGAGAGAGAAAAGGGATTGGATTGGGTTGAGGAAGGCGGAACAGAAGAGAAAAGGGATTGGATTTGGCTGTTTGTTTCTTTAGGTTGAGAGAAGGAGATTGTCAAATTGGGACATTCAGCGCGTGAAGAAGAATGGAGAGAGGGTCTGGAAGTGGAGGAAGCACTAGATCTCTATTTTTTTGAGTTTTTAGTTTTATTTTTTACATTTTTTATTTATTTTCTACAACAACTTTTTTTGGTGAAGGTTAATGACAGCCCAAATTTTGGGTTGAGATTTCATATAATATGAACTCCCTGTACATCCTGTCAAAACCGGCTTAATCTGGTTGAACTCCGATCCGACCATTAAACCTCAAACCCCCTTCTATATCGGTTTGACGACTTAATCCGGTTTGACAACATTGATAATAATCAAACTCTCCAGCCAACAGGTCGGACCCGGTGCTAGGGATTCTCAGATTGGTGAGGATGAAGAGAAATTATTAGAAGGAATCGTTGGAGAACACGAGGAAGATGAAACGGAACTGTTGAGAATATGAGATAGGATTAGAAACCATAAGGAAGTCGATCGATTGTTGGTGAAGGACGGAAATAGGCTTCGAACTTGGTTCCACTTACCGGTCATTCAATTAGGTGGCCCAATATTCGCCTATTCTTCTGTGGACTAGAAATAAATCAGACTCTTGGATTGATGGCCTAAGTATTTATTTCCTATTAATTTATTTTTACTTTCATCTCATATAACATTTTTTATACACATTAAGGATGTTATTGCTTATTATTATTTATAATTTATAAATCAATTCTTTTAATTCATCTTCATAATAAACATTAACTGGATCTATCTGCATGCATTGTCTAATTCAGCTTCTCCCATAAACACTTTCATTCAACAATTTTTAGATAAAACTTTAGTAGGTATTAATAAACACATATTTTTGGGCTAAAATTTTGTACGAACAACATTTTATTACAAAAGTAAAAAAACAAATGAACTATTGTAAATTGGATTTATATTTCAATATTTACCAAATTATACGATTATGCGTTATTTACCCGCCCAACGGGGCGGGCCCGGTGCTAGTTAACTAATAATACGTGTTTTGGAGTGAAATGGAGGGGTTCTTATTATATGATTTTTTCCAGAAATACCACTTAAAAGAAAAGAATTCCAAAAATATCACCCATGTCCAAAAAAATACAAAAATATCACCCTTTTCTCGAAAACCGTCGGATGGGGGCGTGGTTTCGACAAAACCGCACGGGTAGGGGGCGGTTTTACTAACCGCATGGGGCCGGAGCGGTTTGGTTGCAAACCGCACCCCTACCCGTCGGTTTTCTATATATATATTTTTTCCCCAAAAAAGACCCATAAGTGGTCTTTGCACAATTGGATAAGTTGTTTATCTACGAGCAAGAAGTCCTAGGTTCAAATGCCCATCATACCATATTAAATTTTTTTATTTAGTAGAGATTAAAAAAAACATGTTGTGGTGGTTCGAACCCAAATAATAAATAGTTAACTAAAGTTAGCACAAAATCAACAACATTAGACTACAACTCTTCTATTGAAACAATTTTGCACAAGTACATTGTTGATGCCGAGGTTGTAACCGATGTCGACTTCCTCGATCTTGGGCGCCGAAGCGATTTAAAGTGCCCCTTTACGGTAACCTTCTTTCGTGACGTTGCCTCCGATCGCTTCCTGCAAAAAGAGCCCGCCGGCCGATCTCGGCGGGGGCGCCCTCCGACGCTCAAGTTAGTCCCTAGTGTGGGGGATTGAGTAGTTTACAAAGTGTTTGTAGGAGGTGAGCTCGGGGGGTGAGAGTCACTGATTGCAGTGGGCGCTCTCCAGGTACTTCCCCCGGTCTCCTGCCTTACCTTTTGCTGGAGAGAACAAGCTAGTTATATAGTAACTACCAGGGGGACAACGGGAGGACAGGTGTCGGCGCCAGGGATGAAGGAAAGACATGTCACTAGACATGTGTCGTGTAGGCCCATCTGCACCCGCCATGTGGTTGTACACATGTCAACCATGTTTCTGCCTAAGGGGAACACTCTTGCCATATGCCAACTAATTGAGTAAAGGGCATGACACATGTGCAGGTAGAAGTACATGCAATGGATCCAGGTGGGGAGAATAGATGTGGATCCGGGTACTGAGCGCAGGGGGCGACAGCGGGCCCGGGCGCCGGGAGGAGGGGGTGATAGCGGGACCAGTATCGAGCGAGGGCGCCGAGCGCCGCACGAGAGGCGAAGGCCCGGCGCCGGAAGCCTGGGTCCGGGAACGATGACGGGCCCGGGCGCCGGGAACCGGACGAGAGGTGAAGGCCCGCCGCGAGGAGCCGGGGCAGTGGTGGGCCCGGCAACCGGGAGCTGGGGTCCGGGAACGATGACGGGCCCGGGCGCTGGGAACCGGACGAGAGGTGCCGGGAGCCGTGGTGGGCGCGGGTGCCGGGGTCCGGGAACGATAACGGGCCTGGGCGCCGGGAACCGGATGAAAGGTGAAGGTTTGCCGCCGGGAGCCGGGGTCTGGGAACGATAACGGGCCCGGGCGCCGAGAACCAGACGAGAGGTGAAGGCTCGCCGCCGGAAGCCGGGGCAATGCTGGGCCCAGGTGCCGGGAGCCGGGGTCCGGGAACGATAACGGGCCCGGGCGCCGGGAACAGGATGAGAGGTGAAGGCCACCCTCCAAGAGCCGGGGCAATGGTGGGCCCGGGTGCCGGGAGCCAGGGTCCGGGAACGATAGCGGGCTCGGGCGCCGGGAACCGAATGAGAGGTGAAGGCCCGTCGCCGGGAGACGGGGCAATGGTGGGCCTAGGTGTTGAGCCGGGGTCCGGGAACGATAACGGGCCCGGGCGCCGGGAACAGGATGAGAGGTGAAGGCCCGCCGCCAAGAGCCGGGGCAATGGTGGGCCCGGGTGCCGGGAGCCAGGGTCCGGGAACGATAGCGGGCTCGGGCGCCGGGAACCGAATGAGAGGTGAAGGCCCGTCGCTGAGAGCCGGGGCAATGGTGGGCCCGGGTGCAGGGAGTCGGGGTCCGGGAACGATAGCGGGCCCGGGCGCCGGGAACCAAATGAGAGGTGAAGGCCCGCCGCCGGGAGCCATGACAATGGTGGGCGCGCGTGCCGGGAGCCGGTGTCCGGGAATGATAGCGGGCCCGGGCGCCGGGAACCGGATGAGAGGTGAAGGCCCGCCGCCGGGAGCCGGGGCAATGGTGGGCCCGGGTGCCGGGAGCCGGGGTCCGGGAACGATAGCGGGCCCGGGCGCCGGGAACCGGATGAGAGGTGAACGGGCCTGGCCCAACACTTCACCGGAGAGAGTCGTGGGCTGAGCACGATTGTTGGCCCAGGCGCAATAATGCACTATTTGAGTAGATGGTGAGCTGGTTCTGTAAAAATATTTTTACATTGGGTATATCAATTGCCCCCCTTGCCGGCGAGAATCTGAAGATTCTCGGGGGCAAGCATGGTCTGCCCCGTGATTAATACCCAAATTTAATCTTGGGAGTTTATTAGAAGACTATATATCTTTTAGATATTTTTTATTTGTTGAATGTTGATGTAGATTGTTTGGGAAGTGCACAAGTCTTGAATTTGGGGAGAGAATTTTCCCTCATTGTAACTTGGGCCTTCATTATTCTTGATTCCCATGAGCATAATAGAAGACTGTGTATTTTTCATGAATTTTGGTCAAAGACCGTTTGGAAAATGCACAAACCTTGGACTTTTTAGAAGAGAAAGTGTTCTCTTCCATGCTTTCCTCCTCTTTATCCTCTTATAAATAGCATCTTCCTTTCTTCTTTATTCTTCACTTCATTCTTCTCCCAAGTGCTCCCTTTCATTGAGAGAGAACTTGTTAGTTAGCGGGCGGTGGCATGGCGAGGGTTAGCTCAGAAGCTGTTGGAGACTTGATCGTGGCAGGTATGACATCTTTCTCCCTCCCCCCAGCGCTATGTTGTATGCTTGCATGTGGGGGGTAGGAGTACTTAGTTTTTTTCCTTCTTCTTTTTGTTTCTTCTCCGTCTCAGTTATGGCATATCGGCGGGTGATGTCGAGTCGGGATTCCTCAAGAGGAGGATTTGTCCCGTCGGAGGAGGATGAGGTTACTTCGAGGGGGGAGATGGCGATCCCGATACAAGTCGTCCCTGCGTTTGAAGGAGGGTGGTTTGCTTCTGCACCGTTTACGAACCAGGGTGATGGATGGATACCTTGGTCGACCGAGCCTGTCAGAACGGGAGCTAGGGCGAGATACCGTGTGCGCTCCTTGTTCGAGACTTTATCCGAGGATGACGTGGCGGGAGACTTGTATCGGGAGGCTGGGCAGACTGAGGACTTAACAAAGAGGATGGTGGAGCTGCAGGATATTCTGGCCTTGTATGGTATGCCAGATCAGTGGGAGTATGCTCTCCCCGGCAATGATGCCAGCATTAACTCTTGTGGGTCCGGGTGGCATTGCATTTTCTATGAGTCCCTCCCCTACGGGTTTCATGCCCCCTTGCCCAAGTGGCTAGGCAAGGTGATGATAGATTCTGGCCTGGCCACTAGTTCGGTGGCACCCACATTCTGGGCGTTCGTGGCAGCGTTTATTTCTCGCTGCAAGGAGAAGGGTATAAACCCTACCGAAGATCTATTCTATGCGTCTTTCACAATTCGACATGTTTCCTCGGGTAGTACCTCTTGGGGTTTGGAGCGTCGCTTCTATGGGCCCAAATCCGATCGGCGTTCCCCTTTTGGGTCTGTGATGAAGATAAAACAAAAGGGCTGGTATGATAAATTTTTCTTCTTCTCCCCCCTGCCAGGGGGACTCACGGTAGGTGGAGATCTTCTTCCGGATGAAAGTGGGCTTGAGCATCCGAGTAAGCTTCTTAAGGCACCCAACGTTCCTATGGATTTCGGCCGGTTTTTAAGTGGGCCTCCGACCGAACTGCGTACCAAGGAACAAATTAGGTTGCTGATAATCCAAGCTTATTCAGAGGGTAGGAGGGTTGTAGTACTTCTTGCATAATAGGTTTTGCCATTCTAGAATTCTTGCTTGCTTTGCGGACTAAGCTATTTTCTTTTCAGGTACCATGGATGTTGAGTGGTTGCTTCGCGGCATGGAATCCGTTCAAGATGATGCACCTCCAGGGATAGGTCAACACGCATCTCGATCACGAGGAGTGGAGATTCGCGAGCTCACATCTCAGGATTCCGAAGGATTGGATATCTATCAAGGTCGAGGGGTCCACAGGAGGAGGATCATTATTGACTCATCAAGTCCTTCTCGATTCTCCGCGGGCTCTGGAGGCTGCGCCGGGGTGAGTGTCACTGAGAGGTTATCCGGGAGCTCGGGCTCCCAAGCAAGTGGTGGATCTTGGAGAGCTGCTTCAGGTCCGACCGGGTGGGCATCTCCAACTCCCGTGAGCGCGACCCCCAATAACCCGACTTCGGGTAAGGCGAGAGCCTCTAGCTCGATGTCGGCAATGTCGGCCCCCATCGGGGGTTCTAGAGCACAACGCCTTTTGGACGCCCTCGACATTGATCATAACGACACTCAGGAGATGACCGAGTCTTTCTACCAGGTAAAAATTCTTAAGTAACCTTTAAATCGTACTAGGTGGACGGTACTAAATATTCGTTTATTTGTAGGTGGTGAAGGAGTCGGTGTCTTCCCATGTTCGGATGAGATCGGCGGCAAAGAAAACCGGCGAGGCCTCTCGTGCAGTAGATGAAGCAGAGAAGTGATTGGCCGAGAAGCGAGAGCGGTCTGAAAGTCGGGCGGCACGAATCCGTCAACTAGAGAGGCGACTTCAGAGGGCGATGGAGAAGTTGGAGGAGGCCCGAGCTGCTGAGAGTCGTACCCAAGAGGAGCTGATTATGGAGAGGGCGAGGGCAAAGCGAGAGTCCCAGCGGGCGGAGCAGGAGAGTGCCCGTGCGGAGCAGGAGAGCGCTCGAGCCGAGAAGGAGAGCGCCCGGGCAGAGCGCGAATTCAAAAGAGCGGAGCTGGAGAAGAAACGGGCGAGAGAGGAGAAGGCAACTCTGGCCCAGGCGAGAGAGGCACTTCGGAGGGAGCGTGGGATTTCCCAGAGGCTTAGGATAAAAAGAGATAAGACTTGGAGAACTATGAAGAAGGCGTTTTCCCGACTGTACTGTTTCTCCCGAGACATAGTCAATGAGATGCATCCCGGGGCCCCTCTTAGCGAGGCAGATTTGAAAAGAAGAATGGCTGAGCGAGTGGCCGCAGAGGCGGAAGCGGAGAGAGAGGCTAGATATGTTGTTGATTCCCCCGAGTATGTTGGAGGGGAGGACGACCATACTGAAGACTCCCAAATTTCCTTGGGCATAATGGATGATGTTGCGGTTGACGACTTGGAGAATTTCATTGGGAACTATATGTCCGACCTCCATATGCCCGAGATCCCACTTTACTCGGGAACACCACCTGGTTTTAGTCACGCGGCCGGTCCGAGCTCCGCCTTGGGCCCTGACCCTCCGACGGGTGCTTGAGTCGTGGTAGTCGGCTTCCTTTGTTTGCTTTAGTTGTTGTTTCATGCGTACTTTGTTGCTTTTCGTATCAATTTGGAATTTCCGATGTAAACCACGAACCATGCACTTTTATTATTATAAACATTGCTAAGCGCGAGCGCTTTTATTACATGGGTGTGAAATACCTACGTAGGTGCATGGTGTTCCAGGTTTTAGACATATCTTCACTGTCGGCATCTTCTAGCTTCACCGTGTTGGGACCAACAACTTCTCTTACCCTATATGGGCCTTCCCACTTGGGTGTGAACTTTCCCAGACCTTCTTCGGGGCGGAAATTTCGTCGAAGCACCCAATCCCCAACCTGGAGAGGCCGCTCTCTAACCTTAGAGTTGTAGTATCGAGCAACCCTTTCTTGGCTGGCGACCAGGCGTAGCCGAGCATCTTCTCGACGTTCTTCAACAAGGTCGAGGTTGTGGGTGAGCTCCTCATTGTTGGCTTCCGGGCGGAAGGCTTCAACCCGATATGACGACAGTTCCATTTCGATGGGTAACACCGCGTCGGTTCCATAAGTGAGAGCGTACGGTGTATCTCCTGTGGCAGTCTTGTAGGTGGTTCGGTGAGCCCACAGGACATGAGGAAGTTCTTCCACCCATTTCCCTTTGGCGTCGTCTAGACGGGTTTTTAGTCCCCACAAGATATTTTTGTTGGCGGACTCCGCCTGACCGTTAACCTGAGGGTAGGAGACAGATGCATATCGAAGGAGAATGCCATACTGGGCACAATACGTCTGGAGGTCCTGACTCTTGAATTGTGTTCCTTGATCCAGCACAATGGTGTGAGGGAGGCTGAACCGACAAATGATGTGGGTCCATAGGAACTTCACAACCTGTTGGGTGGTCATGCCAGTTAGAGCATCGGCCTCTATCCATTTGGTGAAATAGTCGATAGCGACTATCAAATACTTTTTCCTCCTGGGTGCCTCGGGAAAAGGACCGAGGAAATCCATTCCCCACTGAGCGAAGGCCAAGGACTGAGGTTCCCTTGCATTGGTGCCGTGGGAGCACGGGGTACTCGGGCGGCTATTTGGCACTTGGAGCATACCTTAACATACTCTCGGGCATCCCGTCGAATTGTTGGCCAGTAATATCCTTGACGGAGGAGAGTCTTTTCTAGACTACGCGGGCCGGCATGCATGGCGCATGTCCTCTGGTAAACTTCCCGGAGAGCAAAGTGGGCTTCGCGCGCACTAAGACATCGGAGATACGGGCCCGCGAAACTCTTCCGATACAGAGCGTTGTCGATCATAATGTATAAAGGCGCCCGACGCTTCAGGCGAACTGCTTCTTTATGGTCGGCCGGAAGGATGCCATGTTGGAGGTATTCAATCATTGGCGTGCGCCAGTCTCGGGGGAGTGGCAAAGTGGTTGTTTGAGAGCATAGCAAGGCGGGACTTCGTTCAACAATAACATGTCTCTCGTCCAAAAAATCCCGCGCAGTTGCCAGTTTGGAGAGGGCATCTGCATGAAGGTTTTCTTCTCGTGGAATGTGGATGACGCGAGCATCGATAAAGTTGGCCATGGCCGCCCGCACGGCATTGACATAAGCCATGAGTGTTGGCTCCCGTGTCTCAAAAGTCCCATCCACCTGGTTGACCACGAGTGTGGAGTCTGAGTGAACGACGAGACGTTGTGCCCCCAATTCTTGTGCCATGGAGAGTCCCGCTAGTAAAGCTTCATATTCCGCGGCATTGTTGGTTTTTGGCGATGTGAATCTCACAGCTAACTCATGAGCGACACCGAGGGGGCTTATTAGAAGAACCCCGCCGCCTGCCCCGGACTTGTTAGAGGCACCATCAACGAACATCCCCCAAGTCTCCGTCGTTGGCAGAGGTTGACCACGAATGCCCTCGGCTATGAAGTCGGCAAGCACCTGTGACTTGATGGTCGTTCGGGGTACGAAGGTAATGTCAAACTCACTCAAATCGATGGCCCAGTTGATCATGCGCCCAGCAACATCCATTTTCTGTAGAAGGCGTCGAAGGGGTAGGTGCGTTAGGACGCAGATGGGGTGAGCTTGGAAGTAAGGGCGCAATTTGCGGGAGGCAACAACTACGGCCAATGCTGCTTGTTCCACGGGAGTATATCGAGTTTCAGCATCAAGGAGAGTTTTGCTGGTGTAATATACTGGATGCTCGGTCCCGGTGGAATCCTTTCGAACTAACACCGCGCTCACGGCCTTGGGAGACACAGCGAAGTACAAGTAAAGGACCTCATTATTCTCGGGGGCGGAGAGTATTGGTGGGTTTACAAGGTAGTTTTTGAGCTCCTCGAACGCCCTCTCACACTCGTGGGTCCACTCAAAGGTCATACAAGCACCTTTAAGTGTAGCAAAGAACGGAGCACATCTATCACCGGCCCTGGCTATAAAGCGATTGAGGGCTGCGATGCGCCCAGCAAGTACTTGCACCTCTCGACCTTTGGTGGGAGGAGGCATTTGAAGGATTGCATCAATCTGGCGAGGGTTGGCTTCGATACCTCTTTGGGTGAGCATAAAGCCAAGGAACTTGCCAGCAGTTGCACCAAAGACACACTTTTTTGGATTGAGGCGGAGGTCATACAAGAGCATAGTATTGAGCGTTTCCCTCAAATCTTCAAGGTGTGCGCCCACTCCGATGCTCTTTATCAAGATGTCATCGACATATGCTTCTACATTCCTTCCCAGTTGGCGGGCAAAAACCCGATCTACCATGCGCTGATACGTGGCACCAGCGTTTTTTAGGCCGAAGGCAATAACTTCATAACAGTAGTTTCCAACAGGTGTCATGAAAGCTGTCTTTTCTTGGTCTTCTTTCTTCATAGGAATCTGGTGGTACCCGGAGAACATGTCAAGAAAGGTGAGGAACTGGTGTCCGGAGGTGGCATCCACGAGCTGATCAATTTTTGGGAGAGGATAGGGATCCTTAGGGCATGCCTTGTTTAGGTCGGTGAAATCCACACACATGTGCCACTGACCATTTGACTTTTTTACCATAACGACGTTGGCCAGCCATGTCGGGTACAAGACTTCCCTGATAAACCGAGCTTTAAGGAGTTTGGTGACTTCTTCGGCCACCGCCTGGCGTCTTTCCCATGCAAAGTTTCGCCATTTTTGTTGGACGGGGCGGGTGCCAGGGGCTATTCCGAGTGTGTGCTCGGCCACTCGAGGGTGGACCCCAGGCATATCTTCGGGACCCCAGGCGAATACTTCCCCAAATTCCCGGAGTAACTTGAGGAGGGACTGGAGTGACTCTCGCGGCCAGGCGGTTGATATGCGAACTGTGTGCTCGTCAACGAGTGGGAACTCCTCATCGTCATCAACAGGAACTGGGCGGGCAACTTCCTCTCGGGCGTCGATCGCGACAATCGCCTTTTTCTCCTGGGACAGAGCGCAACATTGTCGTGCTAGAGCTTGGTCCCCTTGCACGCACCCAATACCGGCCTTAGTGGGGAATTTAAGACGGAGATGGAAAGTTGAGGGGACAGCCCGAAGTTGATGGAGAAAAGGTCGACCGAGGATACAATTGTACGCCGAAGGACAATCAACTACATGAAAGTTGACGATGGTTTCAGCGGTATGTTCACCACTCCCAATCTGAACACGAACTGGTAGGGTCCCGATCACGGGTACCTGGGATCCGGAGAACCCCGTCAAGCAGATCTCTGCCGGCCGACACTGTTCAAGGCGGTATCCCAAGGATAAGTAGGCAGGGTAGAAGAGTAGGTCCGCCGAGCTTCCCCCATCCACCAAGATTCTCTTGACCTCGTAATCGGCTATTATTGCCTTTATCACCAATGGGTCATCGTGTGGGTGCGCAACTCCTTCTAAATCATGTCAGTCAAATGAGATTGGGGGAGTGGCTGCTGTTGCTGAGGTGGAGCCCACCATGGCCTGGGCGTTCGTCGGAGATTTAGCTTGCATACCCCCGAGGCCGGCTCCCCCATGGATGACCTCGACGACCCCACGAACAACGGTGCTCTGAAGATTTTTGCCTCGATCGGTGGGCGGGAGCTCTCGAGAGCATTCTGTTGAGCCTTCAACGTATTTCTTGAGATGTCCTTCTTTAACAAGATCTTCTATGGAATTCTTTAGAGTCCAACAATGCTCTGTATCGTGACCATGACCTCGGTGGAAATCGCAATACTTGTTCTTCCCTTTTCGTGGTTCCTTGGTCATTGGAGCTGGCCACACAATCGGGATTTTCTTCTCTTGGATGATTTGCAAAATAGTTTTACGTGGTTCCGTGAGGGGAGTGAAAGGACGTTCATCTTTGGGTTCAACTCCTTCCCGACGGGCATCTCGTCGACCTCCCTTATCCGAGGGCGGCGAACGACCACGTGGGCGCTCGCGAGCTCGCGGTGAATCTGCTCTTCTTGGAGGTGAGGAATCACGCTTCCTCTTAGGGGGAGGCAAGCGACCTCTCCTATGGGGGGTCGCCTCCTGCAGGGTCTCGTCAAGGGCGATATACTTAGAAACTCGTTCCTGGAGATCCATCATGCTGCGAGGGCGTCGCTTTATAAGTAAAGCTCGGAGGAGGGCGTTATTGGTCCCAAATATGAGGGCATGTGTGGCATTTTCTGTGGAGAGAGTGGTTACCCCGACAACAATCGTGCTGAACCGGGCGTAGTACTCTTCGAGGGTCTCATATTCCCTTTGCTTGTTGTTCATGAGGTGAGAGACATCCACATTAGGCCTTTTTTGAGCGAAGAACTTAGCACAGAAGAGGGTGGCAAATTCTTCGAAGTTGTGGATTAACCCATTGCGAAGTTGTGTGTACCATTGAAATGCTACCCCCCGTAAGGTGGCAGGAAAGAGCTTGCACATAGTAGCGTCAGATGCCCCCACGAAGGGCATCAGAATCTGAAATGCACTGAGGTGATCCTCCAGGTCGGAAGTCCCGTAATATTATGGCAGGTGGTGCGGCATTTGAAAATTGGGAGGATTAGGCTGCTCAAGAATAGTCTGGGCGAGAGGCCTTCCGTGAC